AGTGGAGGAGGGACAGAGACAGAAGACAGAGGATTCCAAGCAGGCTCCGTGCTGTCACCTCAGAGCCCCACACAGGGCTCGAATCAATACGAACCTTGGGACCGGGCCTAAGCCAAAATCAAGGGTCAGATGCTTAACTGACTGAGCCACCCAGGCGCCCTGCTTTTAAGATTTTACTTTTAAGTAACTTCTAGTGGGCCCGATGGGGGGCTCTAACCTACCAAGAGTCAAGGCACCACCTGAGCCAGCAAGGTGACCCCACCCCCACCCCCCAGCACCAAAATAATTCAAGATTCTTTTTTTAGATAAGCAGTAGACTTGAAGAGGTACCGAGGTGCGTGCAAGGACATCCCCATCCCAAGAAGTAGGGATGGGGGCGAGCGGTGACCACAGGAAGAGGTGGGACCGTTGCCTTGAGCCTCCGGGCCGGGGTTTCGAAATGAACCTCCCCTCCGTGGACTTCCAAGTACAACCTTCCGTCAGCTTACGGTAAATAATTCATTTGAGCACGGCTGTGACAGGTCGCCAGATGTCTGGGACTCCGTGCAAGGCCCGGCCAGGTGAAACTAAGTCAAGATCCTTTACGTGGCAGGTCACCAAAGGTCAGGGTCCTGAGCTGGGGACGCTCAGGCCATCGGGGTGACGAGACCTGCCCCCTTTCTTTGTGTCGGGGCAGGAACGGGAGCCTGGCCTCCAGATGAAGGCCGTCGTCTGCAGAAACCGGCCGGGCCGGAGTGGCACTCGCGGCCCCCACGGCGCGACCCCACGGCCGCACACACAACGACCTCTGCCGTTGCGAGTATGATGTCACAGCTCTCCAGGCAGATCAGCTACCCTGGGGGCCTGCTGGTGAGATGATGCTCCGCACGAGGCCAGACGCGGCCACGCGTGAAAATGCACGCGAAGGGACACTGTGGTGGCGGGCTCGCACTGTGACGCACGCCCCACACGGGGACGGAGTGGAACGAGGCCATCGCCAAGTGTACGTTCCACGTGTTCTCGTGCACAAGGAGTCACAGCGAATGCTACAGCACGAGATACCGGAGCGACACCGTGGACTCAGGGCCCACCTGGGGACAGACACAGGTGATCTGGAGGCAGACACGCACGTCGGGCTGTTTTAAAACTCTTTAATACTGGATACAATGCTTTTTAACATAAAAAAACAAATGTGCACCTTATGTTAAACAATACAGCACAGTCACAAATAATAATATGAAGGAAAATAAAAACATTTGCTTCAAAAACCTTTCAGGAACTGTACCTTCCAAAAAAAGCCAGGAAAACAGAAGCCACAGCTGAGAAGCACGCATACTCCAGCCCCCGTGAGGACGGCACGGACCCACCGGCCACAGGACCCGCGCAGCAGCCCCTCCAGCGTCAGCACCGCTGACTCCTTTCTTCCAGGAGCTGGTTATCAAACATTTCTTTTTCCCTTCAGAAAATAAAAGGAGATAACCTCATTTTAATAATTCATTGCTTTTTTTTTTTTTTTTTTTTT